CTCTCTTTCTCTCTCTCTCTCTCTCTCTCTCTCTCTCTCGCTCTCGCTCTCTCTCTCTCGCTCTAACTCTCTCTCTCTCTCTTTCTCCTCCCTCCTGTGCTCCTGTGTGCCAAGCCAGTGCAACAAAGCAATACCACATTTCAAGAGTGTCAAAATTGTCAAAAGTGTCAAATGCAACAGCATGACGACAGTAGGCGATAGACATCGTAGACGTGAATATGCCGGAAGACCCCGAACGAGGCGAAGAATGAGGAGGCTGTGAGACGGCGGGACCGCCGATTCGCTGGTGGTGGGGCTGATACAAGCGCGAAATGTGGCGCGGTAACTCGTTCGCAACAGGGGATGGACGTTGCCCGCTTTTCTGGTGCCGGTGTTTTGTTCCCAACGGTTGGAGAGATCGGTCCAGTGCGCACCATGTCTGCTCATGACGAAAAACGAACTATAGGTATTTGCTACCGCTTTCGTATATCGACAGCAACACCGGTCCGTGACATTCTTTCCCCCTTGCTCGCCCTTGTGTCACAGCTATCAGAGGCGGAGGCGGCCAACAGCAGCAGCAACACCCACAGCGAAACCAACCGCAACAGCAACAGCAACAACAGTGGCCGTCCCGGCATCCGCAACAACAACAACAGGGGTGGCGGCGGTGGCGGCGGCGGCGGCAGCCGGTGCTACGGCAGCGGCGTTGGAGACAGGTTCCAGACAAACAGACGGAGGCGGGAGGCGGGAATCGGCAGCACCTCCCCTACCCCCCGCGGCAACGGCGAGTCTCCCCCGACCCCGCCTCTGCTCAAAGGGGCGGCGGCGGCGGCCGGCAGGAGGGGTGGCATCCACAGCAAGAGCGTCAGCATCGAAAGCTGCTGGTGAGAGCTACTGCTGTAGCTTGTGAGGGGGGAGGCGGCGGCTGAGTTGTTGGGTTCGAGAGACAAGCAGAGGAGCTGCTGCTACTGCCGATGGTGCTTTCTCTGCGTTTTTTCTTTTTTGTTTTCTGCGCTGCTGCTGCTGCTGGAATGACCGCAACGCTTGCTTGTTCGCTCGGCCCCTCTTTATCGAAAAGGAACGACCGAGGAGGACGGGGAGGAGGAGGAGGGCAGCAGCTGACGCGGTACATGACACACCGCGAGCCGTTGTCGCGCAGGGAGGGCTTCCGCAACATGGGCAACACGTGCTACCTCAACGCCTGCCTGCAGGTCGGGTGACGGTTCCGTGTTCCCTATCGCTGGCTGTGTGCTTCGTTGGTATTGGGCTGTTGGGAATGGTCCACTTCTTTGTTGTCCGCTGGGTTGTCCTGTATTGCTCTGATATGCCGGTCCTGACATCTGTCCAATACCCTTGGACTCGTGTACTCCTCCTCTTATTCTTAAAAGGTACCCCTGACGTCTGCCCTATACCGTAACGTCTGTACTCCTCCTGTGTTCGAAAAGCTTGTCCTGACATGTGTCCAAAGGAGTAGAAACAGTCTCTCTTTTGTGGTAGTCACCGGCTGGTGCCCCCGTCCAAAAAAAAAGGCGTAAGTCGTGCCGCTTGCAAACCTAGCTGGCCGCGCTGTCACGTGCTGTGCTGTGCCCTCCGCCCTGCGGTGGCCGGACGATGCCGGAAGGAATGGCAATTTATCCGTGTAGAAATGTTCGTGTGGTGTACCACCCTTCTCGATAATCAAGCGATGACGGCGCAACCAGAAGGCGCAATCAGGCCTTTCCTTTCGGATGCAGACTTTAGCTGGAGAAAATCGCGTTGTCGTGCCCCCCCCGGTCCTCCCGTCATTCCCACAATGTCCCCTCATTGCTTCGTCCACACCTTGAAGCGATTGGACCCGCCCTGAAAAATTCCAGTCGATACTTTACCGCCCCCCCCCCCCNATGTCCCCTCATTGCTTCGTCCACACCTTGAAGCGATTGGACCCGCCCTGAAAAATTCCAGTCGATACTTTACCCCCCCCCCCCCCCAGGGATTGCTGTCGCTGTCTGACTTTGTGGGCGATCTCCGCCGGAAGTGCTGGGTCCTCGCCATGCTCAAGCCGCCGCCGCCAGCGGCCACCGGTGGCATTGACGGCGACCGTGTTGATGTCGCGGGAGACGGCAACGGGGGCGGCGACCATGCGATCGATATCCGAGGTGACTTGCCCGGGGAACGTGATGAAAATCTTGCTTGCTGCACTCGGTGACCGCGGTGACGTCGACGGTAGGGGCTCGTTGTCCACTTTTGGGTGGTTTACGATACTCACCTACAGCCAAACCAGCGAGAATAAGGACTGGCGAACGGTCGAAGGCGGCTGGCCCGCCTCGTGAACTGGGTGCCATGTTGTACATGAGCGAGCTCTGTGTAGATAGGCTATGCTTATTTCTTGCTCGCTCTGCCCCCCTTTCTGCCGACGCGCACGACCCGCACTCGGTCAGCAAGCCCCATGCATATTTTTTTGGCCTTTTCTTCGTCTCTCCCTAAGATTGCGTGCAATGATCACGAAAAACGCTGCAGTATGTACGGGGGGATCTTCCGTAAGAAAACATGTGGCACGTCGATCGCCCTCCAACGTACCCGTACGCCAGAAACAAAAAAATTGATGTGCTGATGGTATTCTTTTACACCCCCAAGACCGCACACATGTCAATGTTGTCGACACCTCTGCCTTTCGTCTTGCGTTTTCGTTCCCCCCCACCTCCTCTACCGGGCCGAATGCACAAACACCACTTGCACACACACGAATAACATGAAGACTCTCCACACCGGCGAGCGGTGGCGGTGAACGGCGACGATGAGGACGGAGGCGATACGCACACGCCGCCGCCGCCACCGCCCATCCTGTACGAAGCCCTGCTCCGGCTGTCCCTGGAAGCGAGGGGGTCCCACGGGCTGATGGACGCGTCCCCGCTCAAAAGGGCCATGGACAGGCACTCGTGAGTCGCTGTCGGTTGTCAGCGTCGCCGGCGCCATGCTGTGATTGGTTGGTTGTTTTTTGTTCCTGTTGCGGGGATGTGCGGCGGCGTCTCTGTAGTGCGCTTCTTTCGTAAAGCACGCTTTCTTGTCGTCGTCGTCGTCTCCCCCCCCCCCCCCCCCCCCCCCCCCCCCCCCCCCCCCCCCCCCCC